AGGAGTTTCTCAAACTTTCTAAATTGAAAAACCTTGAAATGTTACTCAAGGCTTAGTCTGTAACACAGGGAGAAGGGGTCTGGGAGGCTCAGACCCGCCCCTTCCTCACAGAGGCTCAGGCTCCAGGCTCCATAGAACCCAGTGAAGAATCAGTGCTTCCGACCTCTCCTGCCTCCCTACTCCCACTTCACAGGTGGCCACACTGAGCCCGCAGAGCCTAAAAATGAAAGTAGAAAGGACTCATTCCCCACCATCTATGCTTCAGCATGATTTCCTGAGCACCTACTAAGTGCTCATCTGTGTCAGGAGGGTCACTGGGCTCTGAGGTGCGGACAGTCATGAAGCCTTGGAAGGCAGTTGTGAGGGTCTCTGTGTGAACATGGCTTGGTTTCATGGGAGGTCCCTGGATCACTGCAGTGGAACCCTGTCTGTAGGGACATAAGGATACTACTCAGCAACAGAGAAACCCACACTCATCGTGGGAGCCTGAGGTCGTGATTCCATTTAGTTAGGATTGCTCCTCTGGGGTCCACCCCGATCCTAGGTCCAAAACAGACCACTTTGGGCCACTGCCACTCAAGAACCTGTTTGGCAGAATTCAGTTATTTTAGAGAGAAGGGCAGTGTTATGGGTAACTGTGTCTCCCTCAAAAAGATATGTTGGGGTCCTTAGCCCAAGTACCCAAGAATGTACCTTATTTAGAGATGGGGTCTTTATAGAGGTCATCAAGTAAAACTGAGGTCGTTAGTATAGGCCCTAAGCAACACAGGTGGTGTCGTTATAAAAGGGGGAACTTGGATCCAGAAGCTGACATGCATACAGGAAGATGATGTGAAGAAATACCAGAAGAAGAAGACAGACAGCTAAGAGCCAAGAATCGCCTTAGGCCACCAGGGGTTGAGAGAGAGGCCTGAACACATCCTTTCCTGGTGCCTGCGGAGGAACCACGATCCTGCTGACACCTTGACTTCATCTTTCTGGCTTCCAGAACTTGAGACAACACATTTCTGTTGCTTTAAGCCACCCAGTTTTGGGGGCACTTTGTTACAGTAGCCTATGAAAGTCATCCAGGTGGGGCCCAAGCACTGTTGATTCTGACGGCAGTGATGTGAATGCTTTCATTTTGTTTCGCTTTGATTGTTTTCACCCTCATGTAGAAGACTCATTTCTTATTTTTTGCCACCGTAAATTCTGGGGTCCAGTGGTATGTGCATATTTGTAAGGCTTTTAATGAACTGCTGTGGGAGGGTTACACCTTTCATCACAATCTCTGCCTTACAAGTGAGAAAGGCAGAGAACCAGACAAAAGAGCCACGCATTGAGGGTGAATTCTGGAGAGCCCTGGCACGAGAAGGACACTGCCACAGCTGATTCGAGGAACTTTTTCCCATGCTGGGCCTCCCTGGCCACAGGTGGCCACAGACCACTGGATTAGGCAGGTGCCCTCATCTCCACCCAAACCACAGGGCTCTCGTCATCATTCCTTCTCTCCCGCAATGCCTCCTTCCCGGAACCCTGGCCTGCCACTTATTTTTCTTCTTATAACCTGGAGGCATTGTTTGAATCTCTAGGTCAGGTTGCAATTCTAGTTCTAAGCAGAGAGACCGCGTGTTGGAGTGGAAAGGGTTCTGAAGCTCAGAGAAGCCCCCGGTGGGTTGCTGCTCTCTATCTTGACAAGTTGCTTGTTCTTGAGGGAATCATGTTGCACTCCTTGAACCTCAGACTCTACTATGCTCTGAATGTTTATGACCCTCCAGAATTCATAGGCTGAAACGGAATCCCCAGTGTGTTAGTATTAAGAGATAGGGCCTTTGGGGCTGCGCGCAGTGGCTCACGCCTGTAATCCCAGCACTTTGGGAGGCCGAGGCGGGCAGATTGCCTGAGCTCAGGAGTTCGAGACCAGCCTGGGCAACACGGTGAAACCCTGTCTCTACTAAAATACAAAAAATTAGCTGGGTATGGCAGCATGCGCCAGTAGTCCCAGCTACTCGGGAGGCTGAGGCAGAATTGCAAAACCCAGGAGGCAGAGGTTACAGTGAGCCGAGATCATGCCACTGCACTCCAGCCGGGCGACAGAGCAAGACTCTGTCTCAACAACAACAAAAAGAGTGGGAAGTAATGAGGTCGTGAGGGTGGAGCCTTGTGAATGGGGTTAGTGCTCTCATAAAAGAGGCCTTAGGGAGCATGTTTGCCCCTTTTGCCAGGAGACAATGCAGAAAGAAGGTGCCATCTGTGATGCAGACAGCATGCACCCCACTAGACACCAAATCTTCCCATGCCTTGCTCTTGGACTTCCAGCCTCCTGAACTGTGAGCCATAAGTTTATACTGTTTATAAATTATCCAGGCTAGGGTACATTTCCTATGGCAGTCTGAATAAACTAAGACACACTTCATATCTGTAAAATGAAGGTAACCATTTCAACCCTTCAGAACTCAAGAGGATTCTGGACATTTCTCATGGAGGGCTATAAGAGCAGAATAGTCTGTTTGGGAACAGTGGGTGAATGATGGATGCTTTGGGGAAATGAGAACTCCTCGGGGACTGTATTAGTTTCCTGCATCTGCTGTAACAAATTACCAGCAACTTAATGGTTTAAAACCATCCAAAATTTTTTCTCTCATCATTCTGAAGGCCAGAAGCCCAACACTGGTTTAACTGAGCCAAAACCAAGGTGTCAGCAGGGCCACACTCCCTCCCCGTGCTCTCCCAGTTTCTGGTTGCTACTGGCATTCCTTCCCTGTGCCCACATCACTCGAGTCTCTGCCTCTGAGGTCACATTGCCTTCTTTTTTCTGCAGACAGTGCATCTCCCTCTGGCTCTCACCTCTAAGGATGCTTGCAATCGCGTTCAGGGTAATCCAGGATTATCTCTCCACGGCAAGATCCTTCACTAAATCACAACTGCCCAGGTTCTTTTTCCTTATAAGATAACAGTTCCACATTCCAGGGATTGGGGCCTGATATCTCTAGGTGGCCACTATTCAGCTAACGTATTTTATTATGGCATCCCAAATACACTCAGACATACTTCCTCTGTAAAACAGAGGTGACCATTTCAAAAAAATTGGGCTCTGGACTTTCTTTGTGAGTGCTATGAAAATGGAAGAGTCTGGGCTTGGCACGGGGGCTCACGCCTGTAATCCCAGCACTTTGGGAGGCCAAGGCCGGTGGATCACTTGAGGTCAGGAGGTTGAGACCAGCCTGGCCAACATGGTGAAACCCCATCTCTACTAAAAATACAAAAATTAGCCTGGTGTTCAGGTGCATGCTTGTAATCCCAGCTACTTGGGAGGCTGAGGCAGTAGAATCTCTTCAACCCAGGAGGCACAGCTTGCAGTGAGCCAAGACTGTGCCACTGCACTTCAGTCTGGGCTACCGAGGGAGACTCCGTCCCCAAAAAAAAAAAAAAAAAAAAAGAGTCTGTTTGGGGAAAGCAGGTAAATGATGGGCGCTTCGGAGAAATGGCCACGCCCTTTCTTCCCCCTAGTGGCAGTGAGGCTACTTGGAGAGCATTGCTGGGGAATGGGAAGAAGGTGGCCAAATCACCAGCCGTGTCAATTACAGGGCAGGTAATAAGTAGTCCCTGGCGAAAGGAGGACATGAGATGGAATCTATCTTCAGGTGGCCATTATTCAGCCTGCTCTAGGGAAGTCGCTACTTGTAAAGATAAATGGTGTATGTTTCTAAGAGTTCCCTTGCCTTACTAAGTAACACAGGGTAAAGCCCTGTTATAGGCTCGATAATTCATGTTCCAGATACTGTTAATGCCAACCCTAACGGAAAAATTATTAGCCTTATTTTGTAGGTGAGGATATCGAAGGTCAGAGAGACAAAGCTACCTATGCGGGCACAGCAGGTATGTGGTGTGGCCGAACCACAATCTCTAAAGCTGCAGTCTTCTCAGCCCAGATCCCTGTTGCCCATCAAATAGACCGTAGATGTGCGTGATGAATATTCTTGACCCCAGACAGCAGGTCTTGCTTCCAGTCTGACAGAAAATGAAACAAGAATGGTCTTGCATCTTTTGGAGACATGTGTTCCCTGAAGATCTATTACCTGTGAATGCTTATTGGAAGCTGAGCACAAGGACACCACTACTTTCTTCCCCTAGAAGAGTAGATAGTCTTGCTAAAGGCATCCCACTGTGATCTGATGTGGTTTAATGCACGAAGTCGCTGCCTCAGTGGGGAGGGTTCTGGGGTTTTTCCACATGGGTGAGTTTTCCACATGGGTAAATGATACAGGACGTAAGCTCATGGGGCAGTAGAACAGATAGCCCCACAGACCTCCCTTCAAAGCACTGGTCATCTAAGTCCTCAGCTGCCCTCTTTGCGCTGCTGTTTCACTCCAAAGCTGAGACCATGAGTGTGCCCTGTCACTTGGTCTCTCTGCTTCCTTTGTTCAGCTACTGGAGCTCTGACACCCAAACCTTTCTTTTTCTTTTTAAAATCTTTTCCTTGGCTCATGGGAAACTCAGGACTACATTCTATGCTCACTGCTTGGCCCTTCCTCTACTGTTGGTTTTCCTTCGCTTGTGCCTCTTATTTCTCTTTCTCATTTTGATGACTTAATTGCACCTGATATGTTATTCAAAGGGAGCTTGAATCTTTTCTGGAAATAAGAATGATATATAAATCAAGCATGAATAAAACTTTCCTTTGGTTGAAAAAAATCCTTTTTGTACTTTGGAAAGTCATTGTCTTAAGCTAGTGCTCAGTTTCTAGAGGAATAAATACACAGAGTAAATGAAAAAGCCTCTCTCAAGTCAAATTAATTAATTAATAACTAACATTGCAATTCCAAAGTGTGTTATCATCATTTGCAATTTAACTTTCCCTGCCTACAAGACAGTGTGATGAAGCGGCTACCACAATTATTTCTGTTTCTCAGATGAGGAAACTGAGGCTTAGAAATGTTAAGTAGTGTGTCCCATGTCATTGAGCTGAGACTTGTCTTTCAGTTTTACCTTCCATCCTCTGCTTCCCTGCAGCGTCTTACCTGCCATGGCCGTAGCTTTTGGGAGCGTGGTACATGAAGACATTTCCTCGGGTTCTCTTTGCCCAGGCACTGGCCATGTCGATTATAGGGCAGGTGATAAAGTAGTCCCTGGTGAAAGGAGAACATGGGGGAGTCTGGTTAAACATGGCTCTGTGGACAATGGTACCTGAAAAGGGTTTCTCCCAGCGAGGGCCCCCTTTGGCCCCCAAAACCCCCTTGCCCAGGCCTACAAGAACACCTTCCTCTAATTCCCCAGCAATGCTCTCCAAGTGGCCTCACTGCCACATTGATGGGAGAGCCAGGGTATGGTAAGAACACTAGGAAGGCCTCCAGGCATTGCCACATGTTTACTAGGGGAGGTAGGTTGCATTTATCTCCACTATATATTGCATTTATGTTACTGTGAAATGTTTTGCTTCCACATCTTTAAGTGAAATTGATGTCCCGGGAAGACATTTATTTCACAGTTTTTTTGACACCTAAAGTACATCAACATGGACACCAGTTTTCAAGCCTGTCCCCTACCATGGAACGGAATATAAAATCATTGTGCATTTTAAAAGAAGTCAGAGCCCCCTAAGATAGCTCATGCACGTGATACCCTTAGTTCAGCCCAGTCAGTGGGTCTCAGCAGGGGGGATATTGTCACCCCATCTCTACCTCCCCTAGTAAACGTGGCAACCTGGAGGCCTTCCTAGTTGTCACAACCCGCGGTGGAAAGGGTTGTACTGGCACCCAGTGTGTGGGGGTCAGGATGCCACTGATCATCCTGCAGCGGAAAGGGAAGCCCCACGAGAAAGGAAGATCCAGTCCAAAACGTCCAGATGAGGGGCCGAGAAACCTCTCTTGTTGGAGAATATTCAGGAGACCAGAGACAACGACTTTTCATTGGCTCTGGCCCCAGGGACAACAAGCAAAGGATGAAGCAGGAAGATTTTATTAAGGTGGCTACTGGCACAGCAGATTGGCATCCCAAGGCTGAGCAAAGAAGAAAGAAAATGGGGACTTTTTATACATCCAGGATGACGTAGCAGCTAACAGGTTTACAGAAGCCAGAACAAAGAACAGTTAACTAATTTGTAACATGTCTTGTGATGAACATTACATTTAAAAAAACAGCATTTTGAGAAACGCACTGTATGCTCTTTGGGTGTTATCTTGCCCTGTGACCTTGCAGCTGGTCAGCAAGAAAAACAGGAATTTTGAGATGCTGGGAACTTTGCTGACAATGTGGGGAGAATAGATAAGGCAAGTTTTACGAGGAGTGAGTTAATTTTAAGCAGAGCTGGGGTTAGGTTTTATGTTAAACAGCCCACAACACAGCAAAATTTACTTTATTATATAGGAACTATAAATTATAAGGTTTTGTTTTTACTATTATTGCTATTATTTAATTCTCTCTTCCCCCTAAGTTCTGTATTTGCTCTGCCTTTGAGGGTAGCATGAATCCATTTCAGAAGCAGCTTACAACAGTGGGGCCCTGCCTGTGCTGACACGCAGGCTGTGTGCTCAGAGAGGCAGGCCCAGATGGGCAGCAGTCAGACAGACCCCGGCTGACCCTGGGCCCACCAGGCTTTCAATCCCATCTGCATTGCAGAGTAAAGATGAGATACTCAACAGTTCTTTTATCTCCTTGAATCTCTGTCTTCTCAGCTGAGAAGCGGGGCCAAGGGTCCCTACCTGGAAGAGATTTTGTAATGACCAAGTTTAATAACACCCATGGGAGTCCCTCAGTCAAAGGGCTGCCCATCTTCCTTTCCTGGTCCTTGGGATAAAAGCCTCTGGTGAGTCTGTTGGGTGCTAGAGTGTCCCCAGGTGAGGCTCCGAGGTTGTGTGGGGCACCGTGGGTGTCTTGGGGACAGATGAAGCCAGCTGAGTTTCCCCCTGCATGCCCTGAGGCATTGTGAGCAAGACAGGGACGGGATCAAACCTACGGGAAGAGTCACGCAGTGGCAGGCCTGTGGCAGGACACTGCCTAGGAAACTGCTCAGGAGACAGAGCCAGGGCCCAAGTCTATGGCAGAGAGAAAAAGCGCCCGGGCTAAGGTAGAGCTGGAGTCTGCCTTCTGAGTGAGACCTCCCTTGGCGATGCTGCCTTCGCTCAGTCTCAGCTCTCACCCCAGAACACAGGTTGTCCTTAAGGTCAGATAAGGCAAAATTAAGGCAAGAACCTAGGCTTTCTGATCTCTAGCTCTGAGCTCTCTCTGCAACACGATCTAGCCCAGCCCTGACTTGATTATAAGCCTCTCAGGGTCAGGGACTGGACATCTGTGAGTTCTTACAGTCCAGCCCTGGCAAGGCCTCCCAAAATAGCTGTTGGCTGTTTCATCTAAAGTGAAGATCTCCACTAGAGGAAAAATTAAAGCCTTTCAGTACCCAAGATCCAAGTGGGTGGTATAGTTTTATTCTGAGCCAGTGACCCTCCAGTTGGAAACCACAGGCTCCTGGGTGGAGAGACCAGTTGGGGCAGTGGGTTTCTAACACATCCCAGCCCATCCCTTTTCAACAGGGTCCAGTTCAGCAAAGGATGCTGAGCCTCGATATTGGCTTTGTCCCCAGGGACAATAAGCAAATGGTCACTGTGGACTCCCCGGAGGGAGAGAGACAAGGAGGCACAGAGGCTGAAGGCACTCACATCCCTGTCCATTCTTCCCACTGGGAGCAGGAGCTCTGCAAAGGAAACGGAGAAATACCAGGCGCCTGTGAGGGGACTCAAAGTTGACCTGAGCACCGGAGTCCCACTGTGGTCTCATCCTAGGGATCTCAGAAGGAAGAAAGGACTGGAACCCTGGTTATTTCCTTATTTCTATTCAAAAATCATTTCTTGTGCATCTGCTGTGCATTTCTATAAAAGTTCTTAGCCTCAGTGAGCGCATGCAGTACTAGGAAAGGGGGTAGGTCTGCCCTGACAAGCCCCAGGATTGGGGGAGCATGCTGCGAGAGAGGGACCCTGGGGACAGCAGGGCCTAGGGGCCGCAGCCTTTAACCATCTTGGGGTGTGGGTTTGGGCAGCCCTCCCCAAGTGACAGAAGCTTGAGCGTGAAGGGGGAGGAGGCGTGTAAGCAGTGGATACAAGAAACAGTGGGCCCCAGAGAGACAGTGCATGGCTGTCAGAGCCTGGGCTGTTCCCATCCGGGGAGTGGCATCAGACACAAAACCTCCCCACTTCCAAGGCGCTGCTTCCCATGTGCCAGGTGAGTCTGGCCTGCAGGGTAGAGTCAGCTGAGGGAGCTTTGAAAAATGCTGGCCCCTACGGGGACTGTGTGTCACCTACCCTTTAAATGCCCCCATGTGTGCCTGGCAGGCAGCCAAGACTGGGGGCACTGGGCTCAGTGAACGCAAGGCCAGGAGCATGGGAGGCTGTCCTGAGCACTTGCTGAGTGGCTGCTTCAGGTGGAGTGTGCTCCAGGCGCCGCTGGCAAATTCTGCTTCTCTGCCCTCTGACAGCTCCCTCATGGCCTAGGAAGAGTCGGGGCCACCCCTCATGTCTCCCATTGTCCTGGGCTTTCCTGGTAGTAGGGTCCACCCCACGTGTCCCCCAGGGCTGCCCCTCAGCAGGGAAGCACCACATGCTGTGGGCTGAATGAATGACGCAGAGGAAATCGAAAGCAGAAAGCCACCACCCTTATTTCTCATTCATGACCTGAGCATCAGCTGGGTCGGCTCTGAAACGCAGCAGCAGGAATCTGCATGTCCCGCAGCTTAGCTTACCGGGTGGCATTCTCCAGAGCCCGGGAGAAGGAGGCGTAGTCATCCGTGGAGTGCTCCAGAGAGTAATACCAGGTAGCAGCAGCCTCGACGCGGGCATCGGAGTCCTCACCGCCCAGGGAATTTTGTAGCGCTTGGTAAAAGGCTGTTTTGCTACTGGTCCGGCCTTGACTTTCCTCAAATTGCTAGGAAAAAAAAAAAAGGCATGAAATTCTCCAGTTGAATTCTGAAAAATCTCAGTCAGTGTCCCCCAAGCCCTTGCTCTAGAATTTCCTCTCTGGGAAGCAGTGAAACATGGCATTAAACACGTGAGTGTTGAAGCCAGACTGTGTGGGTTTGAATCCCAGTTCCGCCTCCTTCTAGCTGTGTGCCCTTAAGCAAATGGCTATGCCCCTCTGTGCCTGCCTTCTCCATCTGAAAATGGGAGTGCCTGCCACATAGGATTCTGACAAGTACTTAAAATGGAAACATGTTCACCATTGTTGCAGTCTGAGAGCAGGTCAAACACCCGAGTTTCACTTGCTTTATCGGCTGCTTGCTCAGCCAGCTCATGGGTAACTATGGTCTGGTTGTGTTAGGAATGCTAAATTCCATTTCATTCATGGACTCTGTCACTCATCATATGAATGCTTCATGCACACTTTCATATGGATCATCACACTCTTTACCGGGACCAACAGTGCCCCAGGCTTGGAGAAACAGCCATGAACACACCGATCAAGCTCCCTGTCTCTTGTTCCAGTGGGCAGAGGTGGAAAATAAGCAAATAAATGCACAGTGTATCAGGAAACAGGTCCTACAAAGAAATATAGGGCAGTATAAGAGGGATAGGGAGTGCTGGGGCTGGGGCTATTTTGTATAGGATGGCCAGGGAAGGCATGCAGCTCTCTGGGGCATGTGTCCAGATGAGAGCAACTTTCTCTATTTCTCTTTCTCTGCCTTTCTCTTTCCTTCCTTCATGCTTCCCCTTTTCTTTCCCTTCCCTCACATCCTCTTCCCCTCTCCCTCTTTTTCCTTTTCTCCCCTTCTCTCTCTGTTTCTCTCTGTATTTCCCCCTCTCTCTGTTCTTTCCTTGTCCTGGTGTTGCTGCTGTCTGCACTGCCAATCACTGCCTTCCCCCAGGACCCAGTTTCCTCCTTTCTGAAGACAAGGGGCTGGGGAAAGTCTGGGAGGCAGCCCGGGTGTGAGGTCCAGCCTCCTGGATCCCTGCACAATCCCGTGCTATGCATTTACATATTTCTAGGACCTTATGTAAATGGTGAAACGTGCATATCAGCACACTCTGGTGTGTTTAAATTGCTTCTCCAAACATTTCCAAACACACAGGATCTATGGGTAGAATTCCAGTAGTAAGCAATCCCTCCTGGGTGAGCAATTCCTCCTGGGTGAGCAATCCCTCCTGGGTGAGCAATTCCTCCTGGGTGAGCAATTCCTCCTGGGTGAGCAATCCCTCCTGGGTGAGCACATCCTGTCCTGGGTGAGCGCATCCCCTCCTGGGTGAGCACAACCCTTCATGGGTGAGCGCATGCTCTCCTGGGTGAGCCCATCTTCTCCTGGGTGAACACATTCCCTCCTGGGTGAGCAATCCCCTTCTGGGTGGGCACATCCCCTCCTGGGTGAGCACAACCCCTCATGGGTGAGCGCATCCCCTCCTGGGTGGGCACATCCCCTCCTGGGTGAGCATAGCCCCTCCTACATGAGCACAGCCCCTCCTGAGTGAGCGCAGCCCCTCCTGGGTGAGCGCAGCCCCTCCTGGTGGGGGACTCTTGGCCCGGCTGAATGAGAAGCCAGGCTGAACCATGCTGGTGGACTAACTGATCCTTCAGGATGACCAACGCCAGGAGTGCATGCAAAGAGGGCTTCATTCTCATTCTGTCAATAACATTTTAATTATTGGAATAAATTCTGGAGCAAATATGAAATTGCGAAATCCAAAGAGTGAATCTGTGAGTATTCATCATATCAGCGATTTTAGATATTTGACCATAATCATGTAAGTTATTTTATACATACGCAATACACATGGACACACACAGACCTGAAATAGCATTCACAAATAATGTTCACACTCCATACGCTTACCGTCTACAATGCATCTGAGAGTTTCCATTCTACTCTATCCTAGTCCAGTCTATTTAAAAAGTGCTCACCTGCAATCTATCACGTGGACCCTACAAGCCGCTCATAGTTCAGGATTAAAAAGTGCATTATATCCTCTGTCCTTTTCTGCCTGGAATATTTCATTACAAAACTAATATTAGTAACCCACTGGCACCCCTCTGATTATTTCTAAATTTTGTGCTGCGCATTTCACACATATGTTTCAAGGACATATACATATGTCAAAATCACCAGGTGAATTGAGCATGACGTTAACCCATCTTACGAATCATAATTCCAAGGCTGAGAGAACGTATCGCTTGTTTAGGGCCACAGAGACAGGATGCATGAGGCAAGATTGAACTCCAGGTCTTGCTGCTGCTAAGAGAAAGGCTTGTTCCCCCAGTATAGCTTAAGCAGTACCCCATATCAGAGCTCTGGATGCTAGGACCTTAGCACCTGGAAGGATGGATGGTTTGCCCACAAGGTGCGTGGCCCAGAGCAGTGAAAAGAGCATTGAGTTTGGAGTCAAAACTAAGGGTTCAAATGCTGTTAAATTTGGGGGATTTGGGAAAGTACATTTTTCCCTCTCCCTGAGCCTGACACCTTCCAAATGTGAATGTATTGTGTGTATTCATATGTCTCCTGTGAAGACGAAGTGAACAAAGCAGTCACCTGTTAAGGTCCTCTCCTAGTCATGGCTGGCTGGCTGTGGGTGGGGCTAAGAGGAGCCAGGAAGTCTCAGTGCAAGGGGCAAGGGCCTGGAGCTGGCAACCAAAATTTGGATTCCATCTCTTGCCTTTCTCAGCTGTGTGGCTTTGGCAAGTCACTTAACCTCTCTAATCCTTAGCCTCCTCAAAGGCAAAAGGGAGTTAAGTAAAATCTGCTTCGCAGCATTGTTCTGAGAATGAGAAATGATCTTTTGAAGCACCTAGCTCAAAGTCTGGCATATAGTCCTTAATAAAAGAGATCTACTTTTATCCATCATGGGTTTCATCATTTTCAATTAGAAAACTGAAGGAGGAACACAGGGCCCCAAATTGTTTTATTAAATGAGAAAAATATTTAAAAAGTGCTGTGTGTCTATCTTCACGGAAGAAGGCTCTCTTGCTGCTATTTCTACTCTAATTCCTTCATACAAATAATATGAATATTTGAAAAACTGTGCAAGAAAATATAATAGCTCGTTCCAGTGGCTATCTCAATGCTACAGCCTGTTTGCTCAGCTCTGAGCTGTGAGCAAGGAGATTGGGGGATGAGTGAGGGCAGGTGGGGCAGGTGGAAGGCGCCAAACTCGAGGCCCAAGTACTACTCACAGACGCTTTATAAGAAGGGATCCACAATGCCCCCACCTCAGATACTGGGTGGGTCTAATGCCCAGGGCTGGAGTGCAAGCGGAGAGAACTCAGTTCTGGGAGCCCAGGATGGTACAAGGACAAGGGTGCAGTGGCACTAAGGTGGGTTCTCCCCAGGCTGCTTTGCCACATGGGAGGCATCATCTGCCTTCATGTCTTAACATGAGGGAGTTATGCTGAGGTCCGGGTACCAGGACCTCCAAGTCCCAGCACCCGCTATGTGGCAATCACTGGGCAAACTCAAGGGAGTGGCTTCCTCTCTCTGGGCTCCATTTTCTCATACAAAACATGAGGGGGTCATAGTGAGACCCCTAGCCAAAACACCAATACCTCCTGGCCTGCAGAGGAGTAAAGTAAGTTCATAAACTATCTCCTCCCTGCGTAATGCCATTTGCTGGAACTTAGAGGAGACAGCTTAGTGGTGAGAATGATGCTGCCTGAGTCACGTCGGCAAAGGGAGTAGCCAAGGTCAGCACAAATAACATGCACCAAGCACCCATTGTGTGTAAGATACTGTGCTGGCCCCTGGTCCACCTCTCCTCATTTGCCCCCATAACTATCTGAGAGGGTGGACAAGGAAACTGGCTCAGAGAGGCTAAGTGCTGTCTTACAGGGCTGATTAAGTCATACAGGTGGGGAGCAGATCCAGCTGTGCCTAGCCCTTGCCACCCTGATGGGCTGCCACTGGGCCTTCAATTTCTGTAACTCATGAGAACTAGGCCACTAAAATAGTCCCAAAGTGCCCAGCATGTGTGAGGAGTGCTGTTTCCTCAACACCAAATATTCTCTCTTGCTTTTAAGCCTTTGCATCTGCTGTTCCTCCTGCCTAAACACCTTTCCCTAGTTTGCCTGGATAACAGCTATTGAACTAGACCCACGCTTTTTAATCCAATGAGCATTAGAGTAGCCTGAAATCTTGATGAAATACAGAGTCTGACTCAGCAGGTCCAGAGTGGAGCCCAGGAACGTGCATTTTAACAAGTTCCCAGGTGATGCTGATGCCGTTGGCCTGGGGACTTCACCACCAGCAATAAGATTATAAATAGAACATCCAGGTTTTGCTCAGGGCTTACCTTCTCCAGGAAACAGGACAGATAATGGTTGAGAGGGCAGGCCCTAGAGTCAAACTACCTGAGATCCAATTTACTCGGGATACCTGCCTTGTAGTTCTGGGACCCTGGGTAAATTGCTAACTCCCTCTGTAGCTCAGTTTCCTTATTTATACAAGGTGGATAATGAAAAAAAAAAAGCCTATTGTGTGAATTACCTACAGATTCCAATGAAACATGCATTAAAAGGGGTTAGCACAGTAGTTGACACATGGCCAATAAATGTGAATGATGATTATTAACTTGTCCCAGGCTAAACCAGGAGCCACAGGTGCTGTGTTTATTTGCCTATTGTTCCAGAGTACTACATGGCAAAGTGGCAGGGACTGTGCCCATAACCCCAGTGCTCAGTATGTGACAGGCATGACATAGGTGAATGTGTTTTGGATGAACAGCCTTTGTAGAGATAATATAGGTTAGAGGTTGAAAGTAGGACTCTAAAGTCAAATGTCTTGGGTTTCAAATTCCAGACTTGGAAGGGTCTGGGCTTGGAGGTTAACTGTACTACTTCTTAGCTGTATGAACTTGGAAAATTTATATAATCACTCCATGTCTATTTTCTCATCTGTAAAATGGGCACAACAAATTACCTTCAAGATAAAACTGTCATGAAGTTAGAAG